GGATGCGTTTACTGATTTCATTGAATTTGTTATCTTTTTCAAAGGAGAGGACTTCTTTTTGTCGGGAGATGCTTCCAAGTAGTTCTTCGTCTTGATAAATATCGTTTGGCTTTCATCAAAGTTGAAGAGCCTCCAACATTGTTGAAAGTCTTTGCCTCTGGACAAGTAAATTTCCAAATTCAGTACCAACTTATATTCTGTCTTTGGTTACTGACTTTCAACCCTAAATTTGCTCAAAAAATGAACAGGTGAGTATAAACAAATAAGTCTAAGAGTGTTAATTGTCTATTGAAGAGGAATTCTGTTTTTAAATTCTTGAAATATCAAGTCAGATAGCCTTATCATGCCATGAATGTTTTAAATTTCCTGAATTCTAGTATGCTCATGGTACCTTAGGGTGCGGCTTATTTCTGTCATGTAGGTAAATCGACGAGGTCTGGGTGGCAATTAGTTCTATCTATGAAAATAATAGGCTGTATAAAATTTGAGCCAATTTGAAGCTTTTTTAGATGATGCTCAAAGGGATTAAAACTAAGGGGCAAAATTACATTGGTTTGAATGGGTAGAAAAACGCCTGATCTGCGAAAATACATTTTTGGATCTAAAATGCGCTGAAATGAAGAAAACCTGTTCAGCTCTTAGAGAGACATCCAGGGGCTTATTCAAAACGAGAAAATCACACTTCTGAAACACAAGTAGGGACAGCGGGGTCATGACGTAGCTGGTTTTGAGGCGCTGCGCCCACAGCTAAGTGATCGCTTTTGAGACTTTCAGATCAAACTCAAAATAAGTGCCCCGAAGTTGAAGAGGCAAATGTATCTCACAACTTGATGAGAAATACTGTATAAAAGTTGTTTCAGCCCTTGAGAACTATACTTGGCCCTTTACAATGTTGCCTCATACTATTTCTCGAGCCTAGAATGAAATTGGTGTATATATTTTATCTTGCACTTGAGTGATCTCTCCTACCGTCACCCATGCGTCAAAAGTGTGATTTTCCCGTTTTGAAAGGGCTCCTGGATGCTTCTCTTAGAGCTGGTCAGGTTTTCTTCATTTAAGCGCATATTAGATCCGTAAAACGCATTTTCGCTGATCAGGCGTTTTTCCGCCCATTCAAACCATTTTAATTTTACCCATATTTTTTATCCCTTTGAGCACTATTTAAAAAAGCTTCAAATTGGCTCAAATTTTCTACCGCCTATTATTTTCATAGATATAACCGATTGCCACCCGGACCTCGTCGATTTTCCTCCATGACGGAACCCTAATGGTACCTCTAACTCAAATATCAGGCTAGAAGACCAGTTGAAAAAGAACAAGTTTAAAGGCGGGAGCGGTTCTTTATAAATCAGAAACCCTTCCCTAGAATATGGTTTAATATGTTACTAATTAGTATAATTTCAATGTATTAAACAAATTGCTGTCCTGTATGGTATTGTTACTAAATTTAGAACTTTTCCAGGCCATATACAATGAGGAAAATATTCTCTGTCAGTCTAATATCAAGGGATTAACAAGGAAATGATTTGATCGTGTAGTCTGGTTGAGAGAAAAGTTCATGCGTAGTAAGAGAAGACAATAAGAAACTGAAGCTACCTCTATTTTTTTCCCTTCACTCTAACATAATTCTGGTTGCTCCTAAATTCACAGATTAGGCGTCATTCCAATCCTAGCAGATATTCTCAGTGACTCCGTGAGA